ACATGTGGAGATTATCCGGCTGAACAAAACATGATCCGTCTCTTAAATGTGTCTCAACCACAAACCTTATTTCCAGCTATTTTCCAAAATCCTATGGAGACATTGCATTGGTTTTTTTGTCGAAGGAACCGGAAGTGTTAAAATGCTAACTTACATCCGGGTTTTAAGACGCGTCACTGTGGCACTCTATTGAATATATCTTTATTGTCATCATACAAAGTACAACCACATTTCTTTGGTAAATCTCACTGCAGTAAAAAATAGACACACATAAATAAGAGTGGTAAAAGCAGAGGTAGAAGCGATGACAGAGCAACGAGATACAATTCAATGTCAATGTGCATATTTACACTTACAGTCTGGAAACGTTAAATGTACAAAATTGTATACATCTAGTTCTAACTGTGTTCATAAATATTTCTAAATAGTAGAAGTAATATGAAGAGGTGTGTGAATAACACATGCATGCAATAGTTTAGTGACTGTGTGCATGCACTTACACACTGCTGTCGGGCAGTGAGAGCGTGTCAGCGTCGCTCGACATGCTCTGCTGCTCGCTGTCGTTGGCGCTGGTGGCTGGAGCGCGAGCGTAGCCCATGTTAGCGTAGTACGGGTTCACCGGCTCCCTGCACGGCCTGAGAGGAGAGGAGAGGTTAGTGAGCTCACTATCAACCGCTGATACATGTTCACATCCATGCACACGCTGACAAGAATACACGTAGAGCGAGGATGACATCTCAGGGGGTTTCTCTTGTAAATGAATACAATCTATAATTGTTTGTTTGCTTGTAACTCAGCAGTGGGATATTTATTTCATTGATCAGAAGATATTCAGCTTTTCAACACGCTATAAGCTTCTTCACGATCATTTTGTGAAGTACAGTTCGAGGTATTTTAAGTCACACGTGGAAATCTAAATGGGTAGATCTGTAGAGCTCCACACTTTTAGGGCCAAACTACATTCCCAGGGTGCACTGCAGGTTTTTATAATCACTTTCCAGGAGTCTTCCTTCCAAGAAGTTAGCAAAATCACTCATCACATGTGTCCTGGTTGTGTTTAAGCTTTACTTACCAGTTATATATATATATATATTTAATTAAATAAAGGTGTAACAACCTAACTGTTCAAGTTGATAAACAATGTTTTAATCACAGAGTCCTAGGGTGAAATGTACTTATGTATTTTTGTTCTTATTTAAAGTGCATGTAAAGGAAAAAAGTGTTGTTAATACCAATTGTATGATCACCATAATTATTTACTGCAAACCTGTGCTCATTCAAATAAAATCAAAAATCAAAAATGTGTGTCCTGATCAGAGCTGGATACGGATATAGATATCAGAAGATATTTCCTTATCACACATTGTGATGGTAAATGATGATGTGATGGTTAGGGTACCACACACACACACCTGTACTCCCTGCTGTCCGGCCTCCTCCTGTTGCTCGAGGATCTCTGTGGGGCCGTGTGCATCAGCAGGCTCTGAGTCAGCCTTCCAGCCGGGGTGTCTTCACACTCATCTTCATCTTTCTCCTCGTCATCCTCCCTCCCTCCTCCTCCACACCTAAGACCACATTGAAAAAGACATTGGTCAAGCATTCATCATCATGTCACACATTATGAGAGTGATTGGACCAGTTTCTTCACTGATAACTTAAAACAAAATGAAAAACATTTCCAATAACGCCAAGAGTGTTGTTGGAAGCAAAAGTCCAAAATGTATTGATAGACTTTAAAGACATTTCTTTTTCTTTACTATGTTCAAAAAACGGTGTGCTTTCCAACACACAGAGGGAGACACACCTGCATTAGCATGGACGTATAGCAGCGTTTTAACATAAACATAATTGATAGGGATGTTAGGTCTAACTCTTAGTGTGTGTTTGGCTCACCGGTCCGTCACAGCGGGCGGAGCTGCAGGATTTCTGCTTCACACACGTTGCATACCGCTATTTTACTGTCTTTTTCAGACACCTTCAAATACTGCCAGACCGGTGAAGCCATGTTGGCGACGTCATGTGATCGGCTCTCCTGATCGGCCTTCATAGAGAGCACCGATCGTTATCGGCCGAGAGTGAATATCGCCCGATAACCACGCCGGAGCATCCATAATAATTGACATTTATTCAAATCAATCTCAGAGATCATTTTATAAATGATTATTAAAAAAGGTATAATATTTCTAGAAGACTAAAGAAAAGTAGTATTATTTCCTTACCATTTGTTTCCCTTATTACCTTCAACTGCTGCCGATATGTAACTATGTTGATGAAACTTATACATTTAACTAGAGATGTCCCGATCCGATCACGTGATCGGAGCCGATCACGTGATTTTCAAAAGATCGGAATCGGGAGGAAAAAAATCGGGGATCGGGATTTTTGTTTTTTTGTTTTTTTTAATACTTTTTTTTTTTACATTTTGTATTCAATGTTACAAAACAAAAATGACCATGTTCAAGTCTTAAAGTCATCCTGAGGCCTTAGTTTTGGTTTCAAATTACACAACATCATGTATGTGTTGCTTCTTTGGGGCTTGTTTTCATAGACCTGGTTGCTTATTTCTCTCAAATCTGGCAACAGAGTGGGCGCAGTGTCTAATTGTAGCAGTAAGCTAACGAGTACTGAAAGCTTTATTTTTGTTTTGATCCAATGCTGCACAACTGAACTGATCCAATGCTGCTTTGAAAAAAAGGAGCTATATCCATGTTGGATAGAATATCCTTTAAATAAAAAGAATAACCTTAAGGGACAACTTGAATGCTTTTTTTTTTCTTAATGCATTGCAAAAGATCGGATCGGGAAAAATCGGTATCGGCAAATTGTCAAAATCAAATGATCGGAATCGGATCGGGAGGTGATC